ACAATAACATCAAGATGGATTCTTTTATAAAGTTAAAATGGCCCCGGGGGGAGGGATGTGGGTAAACAAATAGTAAATTTAAAATGGTTCAATGTTTCCAATATCAGAATTCCATTAATCAGCATTTCTGAAGAAAACAAGCTAATTTTAAATATATACATACAATATCTACAAAGCCGATTATATATTTTTCAATTCATCTGAAAATATTAAAAAAACGTTACTTTCTAAATTCCAATTAATGATGTACATTGAATTCTTATTAAAAAACTTCAAATACAAACTGTTTAATCCAAAAATCCAGATAAATTATCTAACCATATATTCCAACCCCACTCAATATCCTTGTCCTCTACATTCCTTTCACAAATTACAACATGCAAGTAAATTGGTTAAAACAACAAAACCTGTCGTGCTACTAGCTAAAAACCAAACGAATGAAAATTTCAAATAAAAAAGGACTTTAAATTAAAAACCAAACAACCCCATCAACATTTAGAGGAACAAACATACAAAACAATTAGATTGTATGTAAGTATTTTACGAAAAAAACAAATCTGCAACACCTGCATTAGTTTCTTTTGGGCTTTTTAATACAAGCCAAATAAAGCCAATTTCAGTGTAAAGGATCAGTTTAGCCAGGCTGCACTCCTCCCTTTTGCAATTGCTAACAAATACTATACAGAGAATTCTATGGCACTAAGAAATTATAATGATAATGACAATGATGTACTTGTTGTTGTTTTTTTTTTCTATAGAAAAAGTATTAAAAACAACAATACACCATAACCACCAAATTCACCACCATTCAAAGGAAAACAAAACAGAACAACACAACGAACTTAAATTCAAACCCTAATTCCTATATATTTTTCCCTCATGTATTTATACACGCACTTTTTTGGGTGATAGATACTGTTAATGTAGAATAGATGTCACTATAGGATGAAATACAAGGAAAAATATACAGTTGTTAGAGCGAATTCCTTTACAAGGGTGCTAAAATACGAGTTAAACTTAAATGTCTATTAACTTTTTGCCTTAGCAAGGGAAATGTACTAGTATTAATGCTACAATGAAAAACACTCAGAAAAAATGTGACTCGAAATGTTTCAAAAATGTAAATAGTTGTCAAAAAGTTTCTTAAATTTGATATTTGACTAGATATTGTTTTAGTTTAGTATTGTAAAAGAATATTGTTTTCAAATTTAATTTTTTTTCAAAATGAAGGTTTTGAAGGTTAATAAGAATTTGTTTAATCAGTGTTATCAAATATCAAATCTCGCAAAAGTTAACCTTAAAATTGAAAATTTTAGATTTTGAAACTTGTTGTATACAAATCGTTACTTCTTATAAAATCTAGCTTTTAACGTATACTATTTAAAGACCCTGATATTTTTTATATAGCAGCATTGTTCTTACTCTTTGGTTTTAGTTTTTCCCTTGACAATTTTATGTTTTTATCCTTGAAATTTTAGAATTTGTTAAATTTTTTTGATTAATATTTTTCATGAGTGTAGCATTCAGTTTTTTTAATAAATCAGACAAACATACATGAACCAACACTTTTAGGCCATGACTTGTTTTCGTTATTTTTTAACCAAGAGGACTTGCTTACGACAAACGAGGGTAGTCTTGAAAGTTAATAAAAACAAATATCATTTATTATTGTCTGTTAAATGTATCATTCGGTTATGCGAAAAAATCTGATTTAATATAAGAATAAATAGACCTTAGACTAGACTATTGACTAGACTTTAGACTAGACTATAGACTAGACTGTAGACTAGACTATAGACTAGACTATAGATTAGACTATAGACTAGACTATAGACTAGACTATAGACTAGACTATAGACTAGACTATAGACTAGACTATAGACTAGACTATAGACTAGACTATAGACTAGACTATAGACTAGACTATAGACTGGACTATAGACTAGACTATAGACTAGACTATAGACTAGACTATAGACTAGACTATAGACTAGACTATAGACTAGACTATAGACTAGACTATAGACTAGACTATAGACTAGACTATAGACTACACTATAGACTAGACTATAGACTGGACTATAGACTAGACTATAGACTAGACTATAGACTAGACTATAGACTAGACTATAGACTAGACTATAGACTAGACTATAGACTAGACTATAGGCTAGACTATAGACTAGACTATAGACTAGACTATAGACTAGACTATAGACTAGACTATAGACTAGACTATAGACTAGACTATAGACTAGACTATAGACTAGACTATAGACTAGACTATAGACTAGACTATAGACTAGACTATAGACTAGACTATAGACTAGACTATAGACTAGACTATAGACTAGACTATAGACTAGACTATAGACTAGACTATAGACTAGACTATAGACTAGACTATAGACTAGACTATAGACTAGACTATAGACTAGACTATAGACTAGACTATAGACTATAGACTAGACTATAGACTAGACTATAGACTAGACTATAGACTAGACTATAGACTAGACTATAGACTAGACTATAGACTAGACTATAGACTAGACTATAGACTAGACTATAGACTAGACTATAGACTAGACTATAGACTAGACTAGACTAGACTATAGACTAGACTATAGACTAGACTATAGACTAGACTATAGACTAGACTATAGACTAGACTATAGACTAGACTATAGACTAGACTATAGACTAGACTATAGACTAGACTATAGACTAGACTATAGACTAGACTATAGACTAGACTATAGACTAGACTATAGACTAGACTATAGACTAGACTATAGACTAGACTATAGACTAGACTATAGACTAGACTATAGACTAGACTATAGACTAGACTATAGACTAGACTATAGACTAGACTATAGACTAGACTATAGACTAGACTATAGACTAGACTATAGACTAGACTATAGACTAGGACTATAGACTAGACTATAGACTAGACTATAGACTAGACTATAGACTAGACTATAGACTAGACTATAGACTAGACTATAGACTAGACTATAGACTAGACTATAGACTAGACTATAGACTAGACTATAGACTAGACTATAGACTAGACTATAGACTAGACTATAGACTAGACTATAGACTAGACTATAGACTAGACTATAGACTAGACTATAGACTAGACTATAGACTAGACTATAGACTAGACTATAGACTAGACTATAGACTAGACTATAGACTAGACTATAGACTAGACTATAGACTAGACTATAGGCTAGACTATAGACTAGACTATAGACTAGACTATAGACTAGACTAGACTAGACTATAGACTAGACTATAGACTAGACTATAGACTAGACTATAGACTAGACTATAGACTAGACTATAGACTAGACTATAGACTAGACTATAGACTAGACTATAGACTAGACTATAGACTAGACTATAGACTAGACTATAGACAGACTAGACTATAGACTAGACTATAGACTAGACTATAGACTAGACTATAGACTAGACTATAGACTAGACTATAGACTAGACTATAGACTAGACTATAGACTAGACTATAGACTAGACTATAGACTAGACTATAGACTAGACTATAGACTAGACTATAGACTAGACTATAGACTAGACTATAGACTAGACTATAGACTAGACTATAGACTAGACTATAGACTAGACTATAGACTAGACTATAGACTAGACTATAGACTAGACTATAGACTAGACTATAGACTAGACTATAGACTAGACTATAGACTAGACTATAGACTAGACTATAGACTAGACTATAGACTAGACTATAGACTAGACTATAGACTAGACTATAGACTAGACTATAGACTAGACTATAGACTAGACTATAGACTAGACTATAGACTAGACTATAGACTAGACTATAGACTAGACTATAGACTAGACTATAGACTAGACTATAGACTAGACTATAGACTAGACTATAGACTAGACTATAGACTAGACTATAGACTAGACTATAGACTAGACTATGGACTAGACTATAGACTAGACTATAGACTAGACTATAGACTAGACTATAGACTAGACTATAGACTAGACTACAGTCTATTTCATCCAGCACCACTCAACCAGCACACTTCTCATTCTTTTGACACACTCATATATGAGCAATAGTGATAAATTTCATTAAAAATTCAAATTTTTATTGAAAATTTAATTTTCTCAAAAAACCTAGTTCGTCGCAAAATTTTCATTTTTTTTTAATTAAAAATTGATTTTTTACCCGAAATTTAAATTTTCACTTAAAATCCAAATTTTCACTAAAAATTAAAAGTTTTTGTAATAATTAGAATTTTGACCAAAAACCGAATTTGCGAATGAGATTAATAAAAAATAAGTTTTTCTTTGCTTACATACAAAAAAATCGAGATAACAATATGTTAGAATAAACAGCAAACTTTTCCGGTTGCCCCCGTATATATTAACTAGATATTGCCTAAATCCAATAGGGTGGTTGATTTTGTATACGCACTGCTTGCTTACAGTCATCATCATGTTAATTCAGTGAAGTGAGCCTGCACTAATAACAACATTAGAAACTTGTCTTACGAGCACAAAGTGTATGAATACAACTAGTGTTTGATGTTGCGCGCTTAGTTAAATCCAACAGCTGACGATTTCTCAGGCGATTCTTTAAGCTTCTTGTACTGACGAAAAATAAAAACATCCAAATTACACACAAACACATATAGTTGCACAAAAAAAAATTAAACAATCGAAAAAAAAAAACACAAAAATAAATTTTGTATTTTAGTAAATTTAATGTATATGTAACAAATTTTGTTGCTGTTTCAGTTACAAAATTTAAAATGTATGAAGAATTAAAACAAATTTATAAAACTTCTTCATTGATTTTGAACCAAACAAGACGTGAGGTCAATTTCTGTTACTCAAAGATGGCAGTTGCAGTTAACTGCAATTGTTCAAAATGTTCTGCTTTTATTTATAAAAAGGAATTCATTTGTGGCAGTTAAAGCAGTTCATCAGTTTAGTTAGACTTTGAAAGAAGTTTTAAAAGTTTATAGTAAAGTTTATTTAGTTGGAAATGAAAATAGAATGAAATTGGTAAAATTGAGTTTGTTTGTGCTATTAGTTGTCTAAACGTTTGGTTTTTTATTGCAGATTTATTTAATTGTTTTGTATATAACATGGATTGAAGCCAAACCAGCTGGTTATCCTAGAGGAGGACCACCTGCACCACCGCCTAGACCTCCACCACCACCACCACCGAGACCACCGCCACCCAGACCTCCTCCAAGACCTGCTCCCAAACCGAATTATTTGCCGCCAGGTGGGGGAGGTGGAGGTCCTCCACCTAACACTTATTTACCACCTGGTGGTGGTGGAGGTCCACCTCCATCCAACTCGTATCTACCGCCTGGTGGTGGAGCTGGAGGAGGCGGCGGCGGAGGTGGTGGTCCCGTTATACCTATTATTAAAATGGAATCGAAAATTAGTGTAGACGGATCGTATATGGTAAGTGATAAAAAATTTCGGTCTTATAATAGAACAGAAATAGTTTTGATATATAATAAAGAACTAGATATATTTCAAACCTAAACCCAAGTATTCAAAAATTGTAAAAATATGAGATTAAAAGTGAAAAAGTTGAAACATTCTCAAAAAGTAAAGCATTGTCCAGGTTTAGCCTATATATCGAGTTCTTTAAGGTATCGTCCTGTAAATTATAATATATATCGATTTATTTGAATTTTTTTTTTCAAATAGTACGAATACGAAACTGGCAATGGCATCAATGTAGATGAAAGTGGTTACTTAAAGAATGCCGGTGGTGGTGAAGATGAAGCACAAGTAGCTGAAGGCTCCTTTTCCTTTACCAGTCCCGAAGGTGATACATTCGTAGTGACCTATATAGCCGATGAAAATGGTTTTCAACCGTCGGGTGATCATTTACCCACACCCCCACCTATACCCGTAGAAATACAAGAAGCCTTAGATAAAATAGCAGCTGGAGGTGGTCATCCGGATGATGGTGGGGGTGGCGGTGGTAATGGTGGTGGAGGTGGCAATGGAGGTTATGTTTATTAAATAGTGACTCCTTATTAATGCTTCCACATAAAGAGAAAGACAGAAACCAATGGCCCATAAAAAAAAGAATTTGTTCTAGATATTTAAGTTTAATTTAGTGAAGAATGCTCGACTTTTATTTAAATTGAAAACAAATAAATTATGATTTAAAACTTGATAAATCTATGAACCAGTTGTTTATTGTTTTGTATTAAAATTAGAACAGAAATTCTATGTTGAAAGTTTTATTATAAGAGAAAATAACAATAAACATAATAGGTAGTAGTTATTATGGTTATAAAAAAGCACATTGTTCAAATATTTGATGAAATCATGACAGCACAAAAGCTCATTTATTTAAGAAATCTTTTTTTTGCTTTCGTTTTGATAAAGATTTTGATGTAGATAAAGCTTTTTTATTGAAAAAGTATTTTTGGTAAGAAAAGCTTTTTTATGTGAAGAAAGCATTTTTGCTCTGTTTTGTGTGGGTAAATGATCACCGTGGGTAAATGATCTCTTTTTTGAACAAAACATTCTCGTAGAAAAAAGGTTAAAATTGACTTTTAGGCGTGAAAAGCTCTTTCTGGTGACAAAAGCTTTTCGTTTAAATACGTAAGCTTTTTTTGTGAAGAAAGTAAGTATAGAAAATGCTCCTTTTATTGAAAAATCTATTCACGGAAAACCCTTTTAGTAGAATAAAGCTTTAACGCTGTTTTTAGCTGGTGAAAGCTCTCTTTCGGGACAAAAGTTTTTAAAATGCGTTCTTATGGAAAAAGCTGTTTTTTGAAAAATCTTTATACACAAAAAAATATAAGTCTAGAAGGAAAAGCTTTTTTTAAAGGTTTTTTAAATAAAGTATAGAAAAAGCTCTTTTTACATATATCGTGAAAAAAAAATAAAGTATAGAAAAAGCTCTTTTTACATATATCGTGAAAAGAAAAATTGCTTAAAAAAGCTGCTTTGTTATTGAAGAAGTTTTTGTGTGAAAAATACAAATCTTTTTTTTTTAGTAAAAAGCCTTTTCGTTAAAAATAAAATCTTATTAATTAAAAAGCTTTTTTTGTGGAAAGGCTCTTTTATGGAACAAGTAGCTTTATAAAAGTTAAAACGTTTTTGTAAGAAAGACTATTTGTTGTTAAAATATTTTAGTAAAAAAGCACCATTTTTAGTAAAAAAAGTTAAAAGCTTTTTTGTTAAAAATATCGCTTTCTTCTTGGTCAAAGAGACTTTTAGGTGGAAAAGGCTTTTTAATGAAAGATATTTAAAAAAATTCCAACATTTAAGTTGTGTTTTTATGCTATGATTTAAACCATTCAATTAAAAGAAAACACTCTATACTAAAAAGCTCAGCTCTATTCTAATATTAAAATATAAACAATAACTTTTTGTATTTAATATGATTAACAGTTTCTCTTTAAATAAATTATAAATTCATTAAAAACTTGGTTATTTAAATAAACAAACTCTTTGGGTTTGTCTTCTTAAACAAATATTCTAAGAAACCAAAGAATTTGTCATACAAAAAAAAATTATGACGTCATTATTTTTAAAATATCTTCTACAACAGAATTGCTATTTTTTGCGATGAAACAAAAACAAGCCCAACATATTTTATAAAGATAAAAATAGAATCAACTTATGTACCTTCTAGTTGGGAGTATTGGAATCAGTAGTATTTTGAAAACGTTACAGTAAATACGCATATTTCTCGAAAAGCGGGGTGTTGAAATTTAAATTTACAATTAATAATTAAAGGAATTATTAAACAAAATGAAAGTTTTAATAGTGCGTAATAGAATTTAACAACTAAAAATAATACGTTCATTATTAATTAAACAAATTAATATTTGCAGTTTTTGATAAGTTTGGCACTAATGCAGCTTTATGAGGTTCACATGGCGGCAATTGAAACAGAGGATGGTGAAACTTCTTTGCACTTTGAGTGGGTTTAAACATAAAATTAATTAAAATTTTTCAAATATTTTACACATTCTTTAAATTTTCCAGTTTTAAAACCGAAAATGGTCAACAGCGTGTAGAAGATGTTAAATATGATAATAAAAAGCTTAGCTCAAAGTCTTCAGAAGATGTTGATAATGGCAAGCTAAGACCAGATGAAGTTACCATGAAACCGGTAGAATTCCGTGGTGGTTATAGTTTTATATCGGCTGATGGTTATGAATATACTGTAAAATATAAGGCCAATAAAAATGGTTTCCAACCTTATGTTACGGCTCATAAATTGAAAAATCCTCCAGCAGCCGCCACTTTATAAAAATCTATATATTTTTTTATTCATTATTCATATTAGTTTTTAAGGTTTTTAATTCTTGTATTTAGTTGTAAAAAGACGAAAAAACCAAAATTGTGATAAATATTAAAAAGAAAATGAAATATAAACATAAAAATGTTACAAATACCATGACATTTAATGTTTCGTATACAAACATACAAAGGTTCTTAATTAATTTTAAAGTTTTATTAATTATCAAAATTTTGTGTTCTTTTTGTTTTAGACTATTTAAAAATTATGAAATATAGCTGGTTTTTATGTCATTCTAGAACTTGCTGTCATTAGTTAAGCTAAGTTTTTGTTCTTAATTAGCAGCTTAAAAACATTGAAGTAAAAGGTTGTTTAAATAGAAGCCACACCGAGAGAATTGAGAAAAGATTTTTAAATGTTTTTATATGGAAGAATAATATTTTATGAAAAAAGCTTTTTGTGGCAGAAACACACAAAATTTTTACAGAACTTTCTTGATGAAAGTTTTATACACTGAAAATTTCTGTAAACCATTTTTCTGCTGATAAAAGGTTTTCTGAAAAGAGCTTTATGGGATCATAGCTTATAAAGAGTATTTTTCAAAATAGCTTTAAGCTAGGATATGTTATCTAGGATCACTTTTGTTGAAATGCTTTCTGGTAAATAAAAAAAGCACTTGCTTGCCAAAAAAGCTTTTCATTAAATTAATGAAATAAACTTTTCTTAATTTTTAAAATAATTTCTAGATCAGTAGGAATTTTCAAAAAGGTGTTTCATCCTAAATGCTATTTGTTGAAAAACTTCATGTTAAAAAAAGCTTTGTAAAAAATTATTGTATTACTTTTTGTTTTAATTGAGTTTTTTCTCACAAAAGCTTCGCAAATAAGCATTTTGGTAATTTGTTGCAAAAAGCTTTAAAACAATCTGTTCTCAAAAAACTGAATATCATGAGGATTCTTAAATATATAATTTAAGCTTTATTTGAAGCTGATTTCATACATTTTAGTTTGTAAGCTTTTCCATATACTTATGTTCGTAAATTGAAAGTTTAGTTTGTAATACTGAAAGCTTGAAAGCTTGTCATTGAACACACTTATTGAAAAACTCTTATTAGAGAAAAACTGTTTGAAAAAAGCTCCTTTTGGAGCTTGTTTGTTGTTTTCATTGTAAGTTTAGTTCGTAATTCTAAAAGCTTGTTAACTCTTATTTTGTTGTTGTTTTGCTGCCTTTATTTAAAGATTTATATCCTTATAAATGTTAGTAGAGGAATTTACGCGTACATTAAAGTTATTAATGCAGAATTCCATCGTGTCATTAGTGTTTATAAGTTAATTTTGATCTTCAAGTAATTTTCTGAAGGTCAGTTTATATGGGGCCTAGGGTCAAATGAGGCCCGGTCATTATAAAAATCGGCAGTATAATTTAGACTTATGTATATAAAACTAAGTTTTGCCGACTTTTGTTTACAAACTAAAACCTTTAACATAATTATGAGCTCAAAAGCCCTATTCGGGGGTCACGGGGGTTAGGCGAAATAATGGACTGATATTAATCATTTTCAGTAGACTTCGTCCTTGGTCTAAAAGAAGAGTATGTGCCAAATTTCAATAAATTATCTTGAAACAAACTTTACTTGAACAGAGAGACTGACGGACGGACGGACAGCCAGACATAGCTAAATCTTCTTTGGGTGTTACAAACATCAGCATAAACGCCACCATACACCACTATAGTGGTATAGGGTATAAACATTTCAATTTCTTAAAAGTAACGGTTATAATTATTGTAAAAGTCTAAAAGTATGCTTCATAATTGTTCAAATATTTATAAACTAAATATTTAATTTCTTTTATTTTAACTTATTTATATTCTACACCATTTCCTATAGTATTTCAGAAATTTGCAATTTATTTCAGAAATTTATAATTGTAATTCAGAAGTTCCTAATTACATATTAGAGATTTGTTTTTGAAAAACTTTTAGAAAATCTGAAATAGAAGAAAAATAATATAAGTGCAAATGGAAATGGTGTGCTGCTAGTTGTATTGTCTCTATTAGAGATGGAAAATGTTGTTTATATAATTTATTCTTTAAACTTTTTTGATGTTGAAAAGAACTTCTTCAAAGTTATAAAACAAATATTTGAAATTGAGAAAATTTATTGAAGTTTACTTAAGCTATCACTTCAATACCTTAAATTTTACTGTCCTTAAGAGTATAACATTTTCCAAACTTTTTCTCTTATAAATCGTGATAACATCATTTGTAGAGACTTGTTTTTGGCCATTAAATGCAAAAATACTGTATTACTATGTTATAACATTTCCTTGTAGAGTTACTTAATACTCCTCATGCAACAAACTTTTTTTTTAATAATTGTTTGATGCTAACGGCAAGTGTCAGGTCAAAGCTGAGGTAATACACACTTAGTGGGCACACTATAGCAAAAAGTTAAAGCAAAAGAAACCACAAGAACTTGAAAACTCAATAGAATGGTGTGCTTCAAAATATAATGGTTTTAGAAAAGATTAAATAAAATATCGCTAAAAAGCTCTCTTGCTGCCACACTTACCTAAGCTTACAGATAAAGAGCTAAATTTTCATTCTCTTTCAATGTCTGCTTTAAAGCAGTGATTAACAAACAGCTTTTTAAAAAAGCTGTCTTGCTCTCATGCTTCTTTATTATTAAATAATCAGTAAGAGAGCATATTTCGCTCTCTGTTGATGTCTGATTTCAAATATATATAATGGAGAGTATTAACATTACTGAGAGAAGTGACAGGTGTTATAGAGAGTAATATTAATAAGCACTCATAAATCCTCACTTTAAATGAGCAAGAGAGAGAGAGAGAGAGAAAGAAGAGATAACAATAGGTTATTCCCTTCATTATGCAAAAATCCGTTTTTAATAGCTTTTATGTTTAATTGAAAAAAAATTCCATTCAAATGTGGCATCATTTAATAAAATTAACAACATAATTTAAATAAACTATTGATTAATTACTATGCATAGCGCAAGATTACAATGGAAATAAACAATAGACTGTCAACACTAACCGGCTTTTGAAATGAAACAAATTTTATTTAAATCTAGTTTGAACTTTTCCAAAAAAATAAAAGTAATTTGTATTGCACACCAGTCTGTTTGTGAATGAAAGAAACTATCATAGGAAATACAGGTAGTATGCTTGATTTAATCACCCTAATAGTGAGAAATGCTTAAAATGGCTCAAAGTTAATTTAAAATTTAAATATTTTACAAAAGCTTTTAGATGCATTTTGAGGCCCTTAACCAAGTTCATTACTTAATATGTTGTTATTCAAATTTCAATCATATATAAATTGATTTTTAAAACTAATTTTGTGTTTATGTTGCATATGATTTGATGAATATAATTGCCGACAGCTTTAACTTCTATAAAATAGTGGCCAAAATAAAAGAAACGCATTGTTAAGTAGTCACGATGAAGAGTGGTCAAAAACAAAATATATGTATTTGTTCAGCATGTTGATTTGTTTAAAATGCAAAAAAGAAAAAAAAAAACTAAAAATATAAGATAAAACAAAACACATGTTAAATAAACTTTAAGGTTTTCATGAATCAAATAAAATTCATTGGAAACAGTATTAAACAAACTTGCGCTGCAGACATATTGGATTTTTTATAAAATAAACAACAAAAATCAATAAAACTAATAAAATTATTAAACATTAAAATAAAAACAATTTGTTATAAATAAACAAAAAAGTTGCTAAAAAGAACAGCTGTTACTAAAAGTTTTAAGTTATAAAAAAGAAAGCTAATAAAAACAAAATGCATTACTTTGCAAATATAGTAAGTTAAAGAATTTTATATACATATTTTTTGTCAATAAATTTAAAACAACAATTTTATATTTAAAATAGATTTTAATATTAGCCCTATACCACACCTGTTATGGCCTGTATCCCACTTATAATTATGTACAACAACAACAACAGTTATTACAACATGATTTACTACAACAGCAGCAACAGCTATTGCAACAACAGCAACAATTGCTACAACAAAAACAACAACAAGGTCAAGGTCAACCAAATAGAGTTACAAATTTAAATATTGTTTTACCCAAAACAATAGTAGAAGATTTTGAATATATACCCACCATACAGGGTTACAGATATAGGTAAGTTTGTCCCATTAAAAAAATAAACTTCCTCTTAATTTATTACTTAATTTACCTTTATAAAATAGCTACCAACTGCCAGATGGTTCGAGACGTGAGGAAAATGCTTTCATAACTGGTCTACGCATGGATGACTATTCTCGTTTGGATAGTAGAACTACCGATTTTACTGCAGTTGGTGTTGGTGGCAGACCAAAAAAGAATCGTAAATTATCACCAGGTTCTTTGAAATCGCTGTCTGGTTAAAAAGTATATTTTTCTTTAGATATTGTTAGCATAAGTTATTTTTATATAAATATGAATTTATTATCATAGTATTTTTCTTAGCAACTTTGTTGCATTTTTATTATTAAGTATTTCTTTTTGTTGATTGTTTTGTTACTCAATGTTTTCTTTGTCTTTTATTAAATATTTAAGGTGTCATTTGTTGTTTATTTACAAATTTAATATAAACATATATTTTCATATGCATATGTATGTAAAACATAAATACATTAAAAGCTAATAAATTATTTTCAACACAATATTTGCTAATCGTCTAATAATCATGACATTTTTAGGTAGCCAAAACAAAAGACTTAAGAAACGAACATGTTGTTTAAGTTAATGTAATCAAGACTTGTAGCTAAATTATTATATTTTGCTGCATATTTTGGGTGTACACATACTAAACATATGATGGTTAGTTAGTTAGTTAGTTCGTTAGTTAGTTAGTTATTTATTTAGTTAGTTAGTTAGTTAGTTAGTTAGTTAGTTAGTAGTTAGTTAGTTAGTTAGTTAGTAGTTAGTTAGTTAGTTCGTAGTTAGTTAGTTAGTTAGTTAGTTAGTTAGTTAGTAGTAGTTAGTTAGTTAGTTAGTTAGTTAGTTAGTTAGTTAGTTAGTTAGTTAGTAGTAGTTAGTTAGTTAGTTAGTTAGTTAGTTAGTTAGTTAGTTAGTTAGTTAGTTAGTTAGTTAGTTAGTTAGTTAGTTAGTTAGTTAGTTAGTTAGTTAGTTAGTTAGTTAGTTAGTTAGTTAGTTAGTTAGTTAGTTAGTTAGTAGTTAGTTAGTTAGTTAGTTAGTTAGTTAGTTAGTTAGTTAGTTAGTAGTTAGTTAGTTAGTTAGTTAGTTAGTTAGTAGTTAGTAGTTAGTTAGTTAGTTAGTTAGTTAGTTAGTTAGTTAGTAGTTAGTTAGTTAGTTAGTTAGTTAGTTAGTAGTTAGTTAGTTAGTTAGTTAGTTAGTTAGTTAGTTAGTTAGTTAGTTAGTTAGTTAGTTAGTTAGTTAGTTAGTTAGTTAGTAGTTAGTTAGTAGTTAGTTAGTTAGTTAGTTAGTTAGTTAGTTAGTTAGTTAGTTAGTTAGTTAGTTAGTTAGTTAGTTAGTTAGTTAGTTAGTTAGTTAGTTAGTTAGTTAGTTAGTTAGTTAGTTAGTTAGTTAGTTAGTTAGTTAGTTAGTTAGTTAGTTAGTTAGTTAGTTAGTTAGTTAGTTAGTTAGTTAGTAGTTAGTTAGTTAGTTAGTTCGTTAGTTTGTTTGTTTGTTTGTTAGTTAGTTAGTACTCTCTATGTATTCTGTTTGACCTTTCCTGACAAAAGCGGATATTTCACATCAATGGCATTGAGAATGAAATAATAGTTCTACGTACATTGAGACCCCCTTTCTAAAAACTGGCATACATCATGAACGGATCGTGAACGCACCACACTAAACCTAAAATATTTTGAGAGTCAGTCTAATTTACGCATGCATGCACTTCACAATTATACAAAATATACTAACAATATTAATCGCAAATCCTATGTGATCGTTAAAAATAATCACTAGCCTAACAGTATGCAAGAAATATCAAATTTTAAATCAATTTGTAGACGATAGTGCTATAATTTGTAATAATATTAAAAACACTAGAAAATAACCCAGTACACAAAAAGCAAGCCAAGCTAGAAACTTTATTTTTACTAAATTTTTAAATATTTTTTGGGTGCTTTTCATACAAAATTGGAAAATAAAATTTCCAAACTTTAAAAACTTTTTCACTTCAAAATTTCGATAATGTTTGACATGGTTGTACGCTATTGAAACTTTTGTATATATTTCACACGATTAATTCTATATTAAAATTTTTGAAAATTTAGCTCAAGTTAGAAAATATATTTCCTATTATCTTAAAGAAATGCCAAACAGCTTGAAAATCCAATAATACTTAAGAATACGGAATAACTTTTAATTTACTTAATATATAAAATAAAATACATAATTATAAACTTTGATGAATGCAAATCTGTATTTAACTATAAGTATAACATTTGCATAAATATTTTAATTATTACTATGATAATAAATATTGATTTGAATAAGCATACCCAGCAAAAACTTTTATTACGAACTGAAATTTACTTACACAAAAGCACTTTAAGTATTTTTTTTAACACGAAGGTGTCATTCGGAAAGTACTTAATACAATAGCTTACCTGAAATTTAAAAAATGAATCAATGTAAATCATATAAAAAACTATAGCATCTATAACTTCATGGAGAAGATGAAGTATGAATTATAAATAACACGTTATTAGCATACATTTATATAATAAAGACGATATTTAGAAGTCATTAAAAAGTATGTTAATAAGTAAGGGATTACAATTGAAAGTCATTACTCAGTTTTTGCTGGGTAATATTCTAGTTTAAATTAAATTTCAAATCACAAGAACAAATTTTATAAAATAATCATAATCAAATATTTATTACAACAAATTTACATAAAAAGACATTATTTTACCGCGTTCTCGAGTAGTATATTTCTACAGAATTGATGTATGTAAATATGTACATCCTCCTTTAGAACTAACTAACTAACTAACTAACTAACTAACTAAGAACGAACGAACGAAGAACGAACGAAACGAACGAACGAACGAAAAGAACGAACGAACGAACGAAAACGAAACGAAAACGAACGAACGAAAACGAACGAACGAACGAACGAACGAACGAAACGAACGAACGAACGAAACGAACGAACGAAACGAACGAACGAACGAACGAACGAACGAAACGAACGAACGAACACGAACGAACGAACGAACGAACGAACGAAACGAACGAACAACGAACGAACGAACGAACGAAACGAACAACGAACGAACGAACGAAAGAAAAACGAAACGAACGAACGAACGAACGAACGAACGAACGAACGAACGAACGAACGAAACGAACGAACGAACGAACGAACGAACGAACAACGAACGAACGAACACGAACGAACAACGAACAACGAACGAACGAACGAACGAACGACAACGAACGAACGAACGAACGAAACGAACGAACGAACGAACGAACGAACGAACGAACGAACGAACGAACGAACGAACGAACGAACGAACGAACGAAACGAACGAACGAACGAACGAACGAACGAAGAACGAACGAACGAAAACGACGAACGAACGAACGAACGAACGAACGAACGAACGAACGAACGAACGAAACGAACGAACGAACAACGAACGAACGAAAACGAACGAAAGAACGAACGAAACGAACGAACGAACGAACGAACGAACGAACGAACGAACGAACGAACGAACGAACGAACGAAACGAACGAACGAAAGAACGAACGAACGACGAACGAACGAACGAACGAACGAACGAACGAACGAACGAACGAACTAACGAACGAACGACGAAAGAACGAACGAACGAACGAAACGAACGAACTAACGAACGAACGAACGAACGAACGAACGAACGAAAACGAACGAACTAACGAACGAACGAACGAAACGAACGAACGAACGAAGAAAAAAAATAACGAAAAAATAAATAAATATAAAGAAAAAACGAAAGAATAAACGAACTACGAAACTAACTAACTAACTAACTAACTAACTAACTAACTAACTAACTAACTAACTAACTAACTAACGAACTAACTAACTAACTAACTAACTAACTAACTAACTAACTAACTAACTAACTAACTAACTAACTAACTAACTTACAATTACAATTGATTTCAAGTAAGTCATTTTTAGAATACTTTAAAGTAATGCCAATGATATGTATCAATCATTGAAAAGTTTGTTGTTGATTTAGTACAAATCATTCTCAAGTTTATACTGGCACAGGATGTTACCAACAATGTTCGAACAATTTCATAGAATTTTGAAATCATTTTATTAGGTTTATTCATGAAATGTATAAAGCTCATGATTTAGTTTATTCCTGAAATCGGGTAATTGGAACTGATAATCTGATGCAATGACAGAAGAAAATTTGTCACAATAGCTCTTCATCCTCTTTATAATAAATTCAAACTAATAATAATCAAAATATTTACCAAACACGATACTTAATCAAACAAATGTGGCGAAAACCTTAAAAATCGAAAATAAAAGTGTTAAACTGACTTTAACAAAAGAAATTTGTATGAAAAAAAAATATATATTGATGATTGAACAATAAAAGCAAATAAATACGCAGAAAAAAAAAATTGCAAAGTAGGTTTAAACGAATTTCAAATTTAGTTTTTTTGCTGGATTATTAAACCAGCTTTTCGATTTCGTTGGTTTTTAGCATGACAGCGTTAATTTCACGGAACATATTGAGAAGCTTTAAGACGAGTACACAACTGATTTAAGTGTATAGTTTTAGCCGGTCTTCTTTTTTTCCCCCATGAGCTAGTAGTTATTAAGTCACAAGCAACAACAATATATTTTACTTAAAACTATCAACTAACAGACAGCAGCTCCGACTGCGTCTGCCACCACCAACACACACATTCATCTTGCTGACCAGATTCATGAAGAAGCTGCTTTAAAACGCAAGAGTAGAAAACATGTTGGACAAAACATAAAACAAATCACACAATTTTATGGCAGAGACAAGCGCACAAGAGTGCGGTGGGCACGTGTCGACCTTGAATTCGTAAAATGTTAAACCAGAAAAAGCAAAAGAAAATAAATTGTTACTAAAAAAATATGTATGTATGTGTGTATGTATTTTTTGTGTTTAATTAAGTGAGAGAAGAAAAAAATTATAAAAAACAGCAAAAATAAAAAACAAATCAATAAATAACATAAAAAATTAATACCTTAAAAATTTACATTTTTTTTAATAGAAAAAAACATGAATTTGAATATTTATGATTTCAAAATCCGGCATTAAATGCTAAAGAACTCACAGGGATCTTAAGAATACAGATGTATGATGCTGATTATTTTATTTAAACTTTAATAAAATGATCAGTTTTAGTTTTGGCCTTATTTGGTAAAAAAACAGGCTCCCAAATAAATGTTACAACCAAAACTCATATGTATAATGGCCAAACAAATATCTAAGAAGGTAAACGTGCGTTTTAA